GTACACACACACCTATACACACACGCACATACACCTATACACGCACATCTATACACATACATCTATGCACATGCACATACATCTATACACACACATCTATGCCCACACACACATACACCTACACACACACCTACACACACACACAAGCATTTGTCAATTCTTTATCTCGCTCCCCTAACCAACCATAGAGGAACGTCTGCAACCCTTCCGCACGCTCGAACGGATCACTCTGCGGCTCAGTGCACCTAACCTGTCAGCCACATCGCCTGTCTTTGTGGAGGTGTTGCAGGACATCCACAAGGTAGGCTTCATAGTACACAGACATTACAGTGTGTATCTGTACGTTAACGCGACAACATATCTACAACGTAGGCGATATACTACCAGACATCACAGTGTAATAGAGAGATATTACATCTACAAGGTAGCCTATATACTACACAGACATTACACTGTGTAACTGTAAGTCAATACAATAGATGCATTACATCCACAATGTAGGCTATATACTACACAGACAATAAACTGTGTAACTGTAAGTCAATACAATAGATGTATTACATTCACAAGGTAAGCTATATACTACACAGACATTACACTGTGTAACTGGAAGTCAATACAATAGATGCATTACATCCACAAGGTAGGCTATATACTACACATACATTACACTGTGAAATTGTAGGTCAATACAATAGATGCATTACATCCACAAGGTAGGCCATATACTACACAGACATTACACTGTGTAACTGTAAGTCAATACAATAGATGCATTACATCCACAAGGTAGGCTATATACTACACAGACATTACACTGTGTAACTGGAAGTCAATACAATAGATGCATTACATCCACAAGGTAGGCTATATACTACACAGACATTACACTGTGAAACTATAGGTCAAAACAATAGATGCAGTACATCCACAAGGTAGGCTATATACTACACAGACATTACACTGTGAAACTGTAAGTCAATACAATAGATGCATTCCCAGTTTGGAGCCTTTTCAGGACATGCACAAGGTATGCTACACAGCTGCAACCCTTTTGTGCATAGAGGCACTCCAATAATAGCCTATTAAAGAGGTGTGCTACTACTGTCTAACTCTACCTTCACACAACCGCCACTCGGCCCACACAGTCACTGTCGTACGTCAAGGAACACCCAGACTACGTCGACTCGCGCACCTACCTACTGAAATTGCAGTATCAGCAGAACAGGGCGCTGGTGCTGGTCAAGATGCACACAGTCGATCTGCTGAAGAAGGCCACTATGGAGGTGTGTGCGTGCATGCGTGCGTGCAAGATATCGATAGTATGCTCTGTGTCTTCCCAAGGAAATCAGTAGGGTGTTAAGAGTTCAGGATTGTAGGGTTTTAAGGGTTTAGGGTTTAAGTGTTTTAGGGGTTGGTACCTGATCTGCTGAAGAGGCCACCATGGAGGTGTGTGCGTTTATGCGTGCGTGCAAGATATCGATAGTACTCTCATGCATAGTCCTATAGAAACAAGCAGGGTTTTAGAGTTTTAGGGGTTTAGGGTTCGGTACCTGGATGTATTCTTGCAGGATGTCATGTGGGATGGGTGATGCCGAGGATTTATTGGCCATCGCCATGAAGTCAATAAAACCGAGGGAACTATAACACATCTCTGATCTCTTTCTGGACTACATATTCCTATGAATATATATATATACGCATGTACGTAAATATAATCGGATACATATGTAATTAAACATATATATACATATACATATGTACGTAAACATATACACATCACAGGGAAAGTCATCGCTTGTCACCAAGAGGGATGTGTGCACATGTGCGTATGGATTGCTTGGGCTGGTATGCTCTGATATCACCTACATACACTACACTAACCTCAAGTCTATCTCAAGGACGCACAAGCTTGTATTTAAACAAAGCATACATACACACACTATATCATACAAATCTCAGGTAAAGGCATCGCTTGCCAGCAAGAAGGACGCATTCACAGCTGCGTATGGGTTGTATGGGTCCAAAGCTTCGTCTGTGCTCACTCTTATGCGCGAGATGCACGAGGGAAGTGGCGACTACGACGAGTATACAGCCGTGCTGTACGATTGCCAGACATGTTACTTCTCACAACGCAGTCTCATTGTGTTGCCATTGATCAGGTTATATATATATGTATATATATATATATATTTAATATATATATATATA